CCAAATACTTCCACTCCATGACCATCTCCAGGAGGCGTAGGAATAGGGTTGTTACACTCATGGATGATAATGGTTCGTGGCTGGCTAACACGCAAGAGATTATTGATCATGCTACGGATTTTTTTGAGAGGTTATTTCTGGCTGATGAGGAACCTCTTGAAACTCTCCCCATTTTTGGACAGTTCCCTCATATTGAGGATGCTAGCTTCAGAAACATGGGGTGTTGCCCCTCTACCGAGGAGATTAAACATGTTGTTTGGAGCATAAGTGGCCTGAAAGCTCCTGGTCCCGATGGTCTAAACGCCTTGTTCTATCAAACCCAATGGCAATCAGTAAGTGAGTCTATCTGCAAGCTAGTGAATGACATCTTCAATGACCCTATGAAAGTTGAGAATATCAATCAGACTCTCGTTTGTCTTATTCCTAAGATGGAGAACCCTGTCACCATTCAACAGTTTCGTCATATCAGCCTCTGTATTGTTTCGTATAAGATTATTACAAAAATCATTGCCAATCAGATGAAATGTTTTCTCCCCAAGTTGATCGCTCCCAACCAATGCAGCTTCGTCCATGAGAGGAACAGTGTGGACAATGTGATAATTGCCTAGGAAATCATTCACTCTATGAGGAAGAAAAATGGGAAGAAAGGCTGGATGACCATAAAAATCCATCTGGAGAAAGCCTACGACAGGCTAGATTGGAGCTTTCGGATGGACACATTGAAGGATGCTGGCTTTTCTGATAACCTTATCCACCTTATTCACCAATGTGTGTCCTCTCCTTCGATGAACCTCCTTTGGAATGGGAAAACAACAAGATCCTTTCTTCCTTCACGCGGGATCAGACAGGGTGACCCCCTATCACCCTACCTCTTCGTTCTTTGTATAGAAAGGCTAGCGCATATCATCAATACTACTACAAGTGTTAAAGCCTGGAAACCGATTGTCCTTGCGAAAGATGGACCTCCAATCTCTCATCTCTTCTTTGCTGATGATATTTTACTGTTTGCAGAAGCATCCTTGGAGCAGGCGAGGATCATTAACTAGGTGTTGAAATCCTTCTGTCAAGCTTCAGGCCAAAAGATCAGTCATGAAAAATCCAAGGTCTTTTTCTCTAGGAACGTCAGTCATATTCGTGCTCAGGAAATCAGCAATGTCATGGGGTTCTCTTTGACAGGGGATCTTGGGAAGTATCTTGGCATCCCTCTTCATAGCAGAAGGGTTACAAGGAACTCTTTTCATTATATCCTTTAGCGTGTTAATTCCAAGATGTCTAGTTGGAACCAAGCCTCTTTATTGTTTGCTGGTCGGGTTACGTTAGCTAATTCGGTCTTGAATGCTATCCCAACTTACTCCATGCAGACATCAGTGGTTCCCCTCACCTTATGTGACGACATCGAAAAGTGCACCCGGAGTTTTGTTTGGGGCTCTACAACCGCTCATAGGAGGATGCACTTAGTCAATTGGGACTCGGTTTGTAGACCTCTAAAGGATGGTGGACTAGGCCTGAAAAACTTATGTGAGTTCAATGGTGCAATGCTTATGAAAGTTGGACACAGTATGATTACAAACAAAGACTGCCTTTGGGCGATGGTCCTGAGAAATAAGTACAAGGTGGCCAGGGATCTTATTCCTATTCTCTCTCATTCTGGTCAGGGATCAAATATCTGGAAGGGGGTTAGGAAATACTGGGAGGCTATTGTGGAAGGATCGAAAATTGCTATCGGAGATGGGAACCTCACTAAATTTTGGACAGACAGATGGCTACCTCACTCCGGGACTCTCCTTGACCTAACAGTTGCTAATATCCCTAGTAGCTTTCTGGAAAAAAATGTGGCTGAGTATGTTGATACCGATGGTAATTAGAACTGGAACCTGTTCAGTCACATGCTAATGGAGGAGGCCATTAACTACATCACATGCATCATCCCTCTTAACTCTCAAGGAGGAAACGATAAAGTTACTTGGAAGTATTCAAACGATGGTAGGTTCTCAGTAAAGTCTGCTTACAGTAAGCTAAATGAGACCAGCCTTTGTTCTATTTAAGTGAATTAGAACCTGGCTTGGAGATGGGAGGGGCCCCAAAGGATCATATCCTTTATTTGGCTAATCCTGGGGAACAAACTTATGACCAACGAAATTAGGACTAAGAGGAACCTGTGCAACTCGGATACTTGTCCTAGATGCTCAACCCATGTAGAGAACTGTATCCACCTTCTTCGAGACTGCCCTTGGTCTAGGGAGTTATGGAAACGCCTGGTTCATCCAACCTACCACGAGGTCTTTTTCCAAACTAGTCTCTCGGATTGGCTATTTGACAATCTCCAAAATGATAGAACTGGAGATGGTCAAGTTGCTTGGAGCCTCACTTTTGGGTGTGTGTGTTGGTTCATTTGGAAGGAAAGAAATAATCTGATATTCAATGGTCATTCGGATAATCCAACCCAAGTCGCTTTTGGTGCTCGACAATTTGCTTTGAATGCTCACCAGGCTAAAACTACCCTGATTAGTGCTGGTTTAATCGTGAACACAAGATCAGAAGTTCATATAAGATGGACTCCTCCAGAAGATGGCTGGTTGAAAATTAATACGGATGGAGCGTGTAAGGAGAATGGAAGGATATTCGGTTGTGGAGGAGTTATAAGGAACAACAATGGAAGTTGGATTGTTGGTTTCAACAAAAATTCTGGCTTCAATAACTCGTTCGTTGCTGAACTTTAGGGCATTTTGTTGGGCTTAGAGTTGGCTTGGGATAGAGGTTTCAAATAGATATGGCTTGAGTCTGACTCCATGACAGCGGTGGAGATTATACAAAAAGGTTGTGAGGAGTATCATAGTTATGCAAGGCTAGTGACGAAGATCCAGAAGCTCCTATGCAAAGACTGGACTGTCAAAGTAAACCATATATACAGAGAAGCCAGTGGGGTGGCTGACTGGTTAGCCTCCAACCTTATGCATGGAGTTTGGAGCATGCAGGTCTTCGAGTCTCCCCATAAGGGATGTGCTGTTTTTCTAGATAACGATAGGATGGGATCTTTGTATCCCAGAATGATTAGAATGTAATTTGTTTTTTGGCTTTCCCTTCTTTATCCAAAAAAAAAAAACACCATTACATGCAGATTGTTTATTGTATTAAGACAAAATAAAAATAAAAATTAAACTTTGGCAATTTGTCATATGCCATATAGTCTATGCATATTATTTCCTGTTTGTCTTGTATACAAGTACCCCAATTGACAATCCAGTGGTGTACTTGACTTCTATGATGAACTCCGCCGCGAGATTAATTCTTGACTAATTATAAGATTACTAAAAATAGGTGAAGCTTAATAGATAGTAAGCAAAAAGGTTGAACTTGCAACAGAAATTTGCAATGGTGTTGTCGCTGACGTAAATTGCAATTGGTATGCAATCTTGATGGAAATTTGTCAAAACTTCCTTCGCACAAAATCCGTTGCAAATCCCATTTCAATTTCATAGTACGACTATTGTATATTGCCATAGCGTAAATTTTCATCGCAAATTTCGAGAAAATGCGATGGGATATTGAGACAAAAAAAAATTTCTACGATTGTAGTCGTTGCAATTGTGTGGGGAAAATCTTGCGACAATGATGAGACTGTTTCCGTCGCAAATTGCTAAGGGTTTTGCGACAAATTTTCAGATATGAATTGCAATGAATTATGATGGGTTGATTGCAACGGAATCTAATTACGTCATAAATTTTGAAATAAAAGTAGAGGTATTTTATAACACATCAATTAATCAATTGTGAAATCACAGTGTCGGTGTCAAACCCTAGACCTTTGGGATGCGATAATTGTCCATAGCCAAAAAGCCACAAGTGAGACCAGTAGGCAGTAGTGATAAATATTTTTTCTAATTTATAAATGAATAGTACAACGCATGTATTGGGCTCAACCAATAACTTGAAGATATTAAGTTCTCATGATATGGAGTTTCAAATATTGATGAACGAGTAAGCGTCATGCCAAAACCAAGTTCATCCATGTAACTCGGTAGCTAGAGCTCGATAGCATTATTTAGCATGTCATCATTAAGATAAAGGCCACTTTCGCCTATGCCAATGGGGCACAAGCTGATCAAACATAATATTTTCAATTACACCTCTCAAGTAATCAGTCTCAGCATATATTGCAACATTAAAGAGAATATTAACAATCTCTTCAAATGAGCATCTTATCGTTGGTCCAGTATCATCCAGTTAACACCATGACATATAATTGCCATCAAATGCCCCCGATAAGTCATGGTATCACAAAGAACAACTAAATGCCTGTAATTGACATAAGAACCATAAAAGAAAATGACAACACACAATTCTTCCAACAGAGCCCGCCGAACTACCTCAATATCAAGAACTTCAATAACTTCAATCAAGTGATTGCTTATGATTCCTGTTGCACCAACCTCTTCATGGCACATCGAACTTCTGAACTTCAATATTTTTTATGAAAAATTTGTTGATGTCTACTATACCTCGTACGGTCATTTCAGTCAGCATGTTGCCTTCTAATTTCTTTAAGAAAATATCATCTTGAGCATATTCATCCAATATCTTTCCCTTGGGCGCCTTAAATTAAGGTTATCCTTTTGTTTTAAAATTAATTAGGGTTTTTGGAAAAAAATGTTTGTCATTCTAAAGAATATAAATTTGTGTCATTTTAGATACTAATTATTGATTTATGTCCATAAATAAATATAATTTTTAGCCTTAGTTCTATCATAACGAGCATGGCTGTTTTGGTAAATTCAGTCATCTACGGCCAAGCCCTTTCCTATAAAACTTCCATAATAAGTTGTTCTTGGTTCTCCAGCTAATGTGCATCGAATTTCTAAACCTCCAATCAAATCACTTTTGTTGAAGCTTCTCATCCTTTTCCCTTTCTCTCTCTCTAACCCGATCTAATTGTCTCTCTCTCTCTCTATCTGTCTATCTCTCTTGTTCTTTCCCACCCTTCTTAGCCTTGGTGCTGGTTCATGGATATTGAACCCTTGTGGGATCTTGGGGGGTGGTCTTTTCTTTCAAATTGCATGGCAGAACCTAAAACACCATCAACAATCTCAGAATCTTTCTCAAAATCATCCACTTTGCTTCAGTTCCTCACACTTCTCTTCATCCTCCTCTTTCTTATCAATTTATCCAACCAACCAAACCCTTCAACCATGGCTTCCTCAGAACCCATCAAGTCCTCAGAATCAACCATGTCTACCACAAACTTGCACCCTCATAAAACCCAAAACTCCCATACTTCAACTAAGGATGCTGGAAGAGAGTTTAGAGGTGAAGCTCATGAAGTTCCAAGTGGTCCAAACCCTATATCAAACCGGTAAGTTAGAACTCCGAGGCATTCCACATGTACCATCAACACATAATGAAACCATATAGCTAGCTAGCTAATTGAAGATGACAGGGAGATCTAACGGCATAGTTACTGTAATAGTCATCTTCATAGTTCTTATTTTAGTTCACCATTAATATTGCTTGTTCTCAGTGAGAGGTTTGTTACTCTTGTTGTTGTTATCACCATTAGCTATGTTTACTTTCTCCCTTTTTCTTTTTTCTTTCTTTTTTCTTTTTGGCTGGAAATGTATAGCAAGAGACACTATTTTTCTATATCTATGTATGTACCCACCTATTTCTTTCTTATATAGATGGTGATGAATTGCTAGTGTTGATGGCATAAGCTTTTAAATCCATCTGCCTCTTATGTGTTATCTTTTTCTATTTATTTCTTTGGCTTTCTCCCACTACTTGTATCACAATGAACAAATAGAGTTCAAATTATGTGATTGAGATGTTTTATATATATATATATATTCTTTAATTAGATCGTGCCCTTTTCTTTTCCTTAATTTATAGACAATTTGATTAAGAGTTATTTGCTTTTTTTATGTAATCCTCTTCCTTCTTTATCTACATCCATCCTTATTTCAAAGCAAAAGTGGGATTTCAGGACAAGAATTCAACAATTCTTGTCCCATTTGGTTGTTGAGGTTGCTAGTAATGTAGGAGATGTGAAAGGGAATTCATTTCTTTATTAAGCAAAGAAATTTTGTGTTACCAAGAAAACTCATGCTAGTGATCAATATGTGAAACAACACGAGAATTGAAAGAAAGAGTCTGAAAGAACAAACAAGGAGAGTTAGGTGTTAGTGTCTGTAAGGTTTGCATGGCCGCCTTCACTGCAAGAAATCAATTGGGTTTCAAAGCTGAGAGGAAGAAGGAAAAGTTGAAGATAACAACGGAATCAGAGACACACACACACAGCTAGCAGTGGTGTCAGATCTGTGACATAAAACAGTGAGAGGACTTGCTACCTTTTGTTTTGTCTGAGCAAAATTATTTGATCTGCCTTTGGACTTTGCTTTTGTCTTCTCAAACACATTTCTCAAGAAAGCTGAGTGAGCCCATGATTTGATAATTATAACAGTATCATTTCCTATCACTACTATTCCATCATGTACTCTACCATACCCTACCTCTCTTGCCTTTTTTTTTTTTCCTTTTAAAAATTAATATTGATTTCTTAATTTTTTTTTATGGATTTAAAATTTCTAGTATTATTAAAGAAAAAATTATTTTATGTGAAATTTTTTTTTCTCTTTCTTCTACCCCCATTAGCATAGCTCCATATATTTTCATATAATTTTATCTTCAGCTGATAAACTTTAAACCTTTTCTTTAAATTGCAGACCCACCATTTGACTAATCTTAAGCACTCATATCATCTATAGTATGTAATAGTCTTTGCATGTCAAGGAATAGTATGAACACATATAGCATGGCAGACCTATATTTTTATACACTTATATTATTATATATATTAGTGGATTTCTTTTCTGATTTAAAAGAAAAAAAATGGGGGGAAAAAGCAGGTTGGTTTCAATGGTTTGTATTCAAGATTGCCTTTTTGTAAAGCTGTATCTTTTGACTTGTGTCGTTTTCTAATACATAACCCCTACCGTTGGTTTATTGAATTTTCTGTGGCATAATTATGGCAAAAGCTAGATAAGCAAAATCTGGAGCAGTTTTCAATGGCCAAAGTAGTGATTTGACTAGAATACAGTTAAGAGCACTCGGATTCATGTGAAAGCTAAGCATGATGTCTTGCTTTGAAGCCATGACGCAATTTTGTATACACATTTTTTCTATAATTTTGGCTGTGTTTGATTAGATGAATTATTCAGTTTTCAACCCTTCTAAAGTAACTCTGGAAGTTAAGAAATCATGGTTAAAAGATATAATTGGGTCCCGTTAGTTATTGACTAATAGCATTATATCACACGCTATTAAAGGAACATGCGTGGGTCAGATTTTGGTTTAGGCAACTCTAGTCCCGCAAGTTTAAATCTTCTTCTTTTTCCCCCTAGTTGTATGCCATCATAATTTAAAATCATAAGTTGTGTTTGTGATCATCAAAATTATACAAAGTATAGACTCAACAAATGGTAGTTTTAATTGAGCGGATCAAATTAAAGAGATTTTTTTTGCAAATAAGACTAACATAAACAAAATAAAGAAAAATAAGAGATAGAAAATATAAGAATGAGATGAGATAAGTTGAGTTAAGATTTTGACTTCCCTCTATCTTCTTTTTTTTTTTTTTTTTTTGATAACACTCTATCTTCTTTTTTATATGAATTGAAATTGTTAAGACATAATCTGAAACAATTCATGGTTGATTTAATCCAATCTAATACCCTTTTCTTGTTGCCAATTGAATTTACAAAAATAGTAACCATGTCAAAGCTCAATTAAAACCCAACCTTTCCAACGTGGGCTACAATTAATTAATTTCAGTATTTTGTTTTTAAAAATCGGATTGACAATATGATATACGAGATATAAACAAGCACTGATCCCAATATAAATAACTAATCTGTAGACCTATTATTGATTTAGTGTGATTGGGCGGTAACAGTGTAGGCACTAGACTCAACTAATCATTGGACCATTAGAATTTTATTTATATTAGTGTTTATTGATGGAGTTGTTAAAATATTGACTCGATCACTTCACTCCCTACTGTCAGTATAATATCCCTTACAATGAAATTTAATTAATTGCATATAATGAGGCAATTAATCTTGAACTATTGGATTGAATTGGATAAAATATCTAATTAAATGAATTATTGTCACTTTTTAGATAAAAAGTGCAGTTACTGAAAATTATGGGATAAAAATTGATGTAAGCAAAAGTACCCAAAATGTAAAAGTAAAATTAGAAATGTTCCTAAAAAAATATTTCAGACCATTAGGTAAAATTTGATAATGAATGAAGGTGAATAGATAGATAAGTTTTACCCAGTTGAAAGTTACCTACCTTATATCAAGTGTAAAACAAATAAACCCCCTCATTTGCTTCTTCTTCACCGTGCGATAGAGGGAAAGGAAGGAGACCATTGATGAAAAGCTTCAAAACCTAACTTCTCCATCTCTCAACCAAATCTTTTGATTCTTGAACCAATCTTGCTTAGAATTGAGAGGCAAATACAACCCCTAATCCATAATATACCAAAAAGCCTTGCATTGAGAGAAAAATAGTGGTGAAAGTGGTGACCCACTTGTGATTGAGGAGCTTGGAGAGTGATTTGCTTTGTTTGGAGGCTTGCAATCTCTTTCTTGCATGATTCTAAGTGAGTTCATGTTTAGATACAAGCTTTTCCATGATTTTTATGGTGATGGGTATGTTAGGGTTTCATTTGAGAAAATATGTGTATGATGGGATAGTTTAGAGCTTGATTGAAGCTTAGGCCCTTTGAAAAAGTTGTTTAGAATGATAAATAAACGATAGAAATGAGTCTAGATAGTCATTTGATTATTGTTCAATATATTGGAAAATTCATGCTTGGCCTTGTGAGTGTTCTAGCATTTGAGCAATTAATGAATTGTATGATTGATTGTGTCCCTTGTGCTGTTAGGCTTGAGGCAAGTGGACCAACTTTGAGTGACCATCCATTGGAAGAAGCTATGGAGTTTGATTAGCTCATTTGGATAAGTAAGTTCATGCCAAGTTGTGGTGTGAAATTGTTGTATTGTTGATGAATATGTTGATATTCATTAACTTCTATTGATTGATTGTGTGACACCTTGGTGTAGGTGTGTATTTTGCAAGTTTGTAGCTTAAATTCAGAGTTTGATTGGTTGCAAACTTGTTGGTGAATAAATATTGAATTGGAGCATTAAAGGTAAGCCTTCGGACCTTAGGTGTAAATCCTTTTATTGTTCCACCAAGTCCTGAATGGGTAGTGGTTGTTGATAGTGTATGTAAATGCAATAAAGTAGTTTAATGTTTTGTTATACATATGTGTATGCACTGGGTGTGGCATAGGATGGTGTTTCTCTATGTTTTGCATGTTGCATGACGATACGTAAATCATACTTGGTAGATTCTCTGACCAGTAGGACTATTTGTATCTGAGTATCCTTAAGACAACATGAGAGCTCGAGGGATGTCTCCTGGAGATGTTTTTACACACTGCATGGATATGTATTTACTGTATTATTTACTGTTATTGCTATTATATTGTGCTATGAACTATGGGGTGGAGAGATGCTCTAAGGACCCCTAGTTTACTGTGATATATTCATATATCTCACCCCGTGTTGTGGGGATCCCTTTTCAGGTACAGATGCTGCAGGAGCCTCTAGTGGCAAGTGGTCGTATTTGGACTAGAAGGTCATATGTTGATAGCCTGTCATTTTGGATTGCATCTCATCTAGGATAGTAGATGTATATGTCATTTACATTGCCACATGTATATGTATATTTTGAGGACATATGATGTATTTTGGGGGACTTAGTGCATGATCATTGTGGTGGTGAATGCCTTGTTGTATATGGCTTATTGCTTTGATCATGTTTAATTTGGTAGCTAAGTCCTTTGGCATGTATATGAAATTTGAAAGAACATTGATCTAATTGAGACTTTACTATATTGATTAATATGAAGTTATGTTTATCATTTTGATTTGCCAGATGAATTGGTGAAGTAATTGTGGGATGTAGGTGTTATACGGTGTGTGACCATGGTTGGCCTTTCCTTGTCAATTAGGTGTTACGACCCTTGGAGAATGAAAGGGGAATAAAATTTTCCCAAGAAAATACCCAAAAACAGGGGAGACCAAGTCTTCCCCAGGTGTAGGGTGCTCAAGCGCGCTGCGTGCATGAAATCTGGTGAAATTCCCTGCCTCTGGGCGCTTAAGCCCCCAGTAGGGCGCTCAAGCGCGCTAGTGCGCGTCTAAGCGTGTTGAAAAACCTAACGATGGAAAAATTCTCTGTCTTTGGGCGCTCGAGCGCCCAGTTGAGCGCTCGAATGCGCATTCCAAAAATAGCATGAGCATAGTTTAATAAAATTGGCATGACTCAAGCTACAGATCTCCGATTTGAGCGCGATTTAATCCATGCGAAGCTAACGGAGAGATCTATAATATAGTGGGAGATGAGAACTATAAATGAAGTATAGAATTTCCAATTTAATAAAAAAATGAAGATAGTTTAGTATTGAACTTAAACAAAATAAGTAAGTTTCAAAAAGAAAAAAATTTTAATCGAGTTTTTAATTGAACTAATGTGATTGTAACTGCGCTTAGTATCATAAAGCAATGATAACAAACCAGTTCTAGAACGGGACGTTACAGCCACCATATATTATTGGACTTGCCCAAATGCTCCATAAATAGTTATTGGGAAAACATTTTCTCACATGTTGTAGTAAAGTTGTTTTCGTGCGGTATATTTTTTTTTAATAGATGTGGGCCTCATAGTTCTATGTGTTTATAGTATGAGAAATTTTGTTCCTACTGCATGAGAAAATTGAAACCCATAGTTATTATATATTAATTATTCTAGCTTAATGAGTGATTTTGAGTACTGAGTATATAGTTATGTTGAAAATTTGGTAGGAAGATTTTTTGTGATCCAGCCTGAAGCTATGGAGAAATTCAAAAAAAGAAAAGAAAAAGAGAAGTATATAAAGAGAAGGATCTAGCTAGAAGGGTTTTCCTTATAAACAAACGTTTGTATTTTGTATTAAATTCTGATTGGTGTGTTGAGTTTGCATCACGCTATATTATAGTGAGTTTGTATTTATGTATGGTTTCATTTATTAAAATAGCTTCTAAATTGGCTTATCATCAAAGACCTACTTTTTCTTTTCCAATTCTGTTTAGCTTTCAACAAGAAGATGCATCATCTTCTAGATTAAAATTTGAAAATAGTAAGGTTCAGATTTGCAGTGTGTGAACTCTATAAAACATTTATAATACTTATAAGAAATTGAGTTTTGGAGTGTGATCTAGAAAACATTTATAAATACCATGTGCAGTAAGTATGTTGTCCCTATTATTTTCTGATGAAGGAACCAGTTGCAATATTAATGCGATTGTATCACTACTAGAAAAGACCATATTTATAAAAAAAAAAAAAAAAATCGATGGAAGGAACATTTGCAGCGATTGGAGACAAAAATCCACCTCCAACGTCAAAGGAGGAAGATGATCTTTTACTGCGTAGCACTGAGAAGCCAAAAGAAAATGATGGAATCGTAGCTTTTGTTCAAGGGCAGGGTATCATACCAAATGGGAAAGAAGCACTAAAGGTAAATTGAGGACTCGAGCAGCGTAAGGTAATTTCTTATAAAGACTCTCTATTTCAATTTAATGGAGCCTAGAGGCAGACGAAACTAGAAGACGAGTGTTGGGAGGCCAGTTGACACGAGCTGTCGAACTCGCGCAAATTAAAAATTATTTTTTATTAGGGTTCAGAAAATTTGTAGTAAAGTGGAAACCCTAAGTCGTCTCTCAAGGAAATTGTTTTGGTAAAAATCGCTTATGATGACAAAAAATTAAAAGGGGGGGTTTTTGAATTTTGGTTGAATAATTAAAAAGGAAGAATATGAAATTGGATTTAAAATTCGTAATTAAAAATAACCAACCTAAGGTTTGGGTTCCATGGACGTCTTTCCTCGGATAAGAAGATATCAGAATCGTGATTGATTTGTCAATCGAATCAGAATCCTTATTTCCAATTGACAACCCTCTCTAAGCGATCGCTTAGCATTTGATCAAAGACGATGCTTCTACTCATACAATCGCAGAGTATCAGCCCCTTTGATTTAAGGTCATAGGGTCAATCAATCTAACCATCAAATCTGATGATTAATCCCTTTCCATAATCACAATTGCGAACCTCAAATTGAATATCCACGATCGCACGATATCAATCTGAGTTGGGAAGGGAAACAAAACTGATTTAAAATAAAGCGCAGACCCTCAAGACTAATCCATGGAATCCGTTACCCTTAGGTTGATTAAAAGGTTCTTAGCCTCGCATGACTAAGGTAAACATGATTAAAATAAAATAAAAAGAAGAAGAAGAAAAAGATGAAGAACACGAAGAACGCTCCAGAGAAAGTGTTTTGATCCCAGAATTCGAAAATTACAGAATGAATAAAAGTTTCCTACTCTGCCATCATATACCCCTACCCAAAGCGGGTTAGGGTTCAGTTCTGATCGGCCCATCTGTCTAAAATACGAAATAAAATAAAATAAAACTAAAACTTGGCTTTGGGCCACTTAAGTAACTGGGTTTTAATTTAATGTCAAATCCAATAATAAAACAAACTTCAGCAAAACGCGTCCGACTTGGCGTAAGAAATCGATCAGCTTCCTGTGCGAATTGGGCTTTGAACTCTTCATAAGAATTGTAGCCCTATGTGTTATCTGTAAAACCCAACAAGAACGGAGTCAATCCGACAACTGTGGACCGAGATATGGCCAAAATACAGAAGTAACGTAAAGTTGAAAATTTCTGACGAAAATAAATTAAACCCAATCAAATACTAAAAATGTAAATTTACTCAAAACATCATTATTTTATTCAAATAAATCCTAAAAATACTAATCAAGAGTAACAAATAAGTGTAATAAAATATGAGTTATCAAATTCCCCCACACTTATCTTTTTGCACTCCTGGGCAAAATATAGAATAGAAAAAGAAAGCAAAGAAATAAGAAAAGAGTGAAGATCAACCTATCCTTCCTAATAATTAGCAAGTATACAAAAGATAACAAAAATCACAAGTCTTGAACAAATAAAACAACCAGGACAAAAATTCCTTAATCTCAAATCACAAGACCTGTCAATTTCAACTGCAACTGCTAACTACACAAAAATGGTTCCTCACAGGATGCTCTCAATTTTTCTCTCAAGTGTATCAGTTAATTCAGTATATCACTCAAATCAACTCAAGAAAATCATCCTACCATAGGCTTGCTCAAGTTCTACTTCTCCACTGCTAATAACACATGCATGCACAAATCAAGAGGGCTTTATGTAGGGTTGTAATGGGGTTGAGGTAAAGGTATGGATGAATATGGAAGAGAAAACTAAACACCCCAGAAATTTACAAAGAGCAAAAGTTAAGAACTAAACTAAGAACATAAAACAAATATAATGAAAAGATAGAAATAAAAACAATTTTTTTTCTTTTTGCTTATTCTTTTTTTTTTTTTTTAAGAAAGTATAATACAGACAAAATATCCAGATGGTTACCCCCCACACTTAAACTTTGCACGTTTCGGGAAAACCCCCACACTTAAACAAAACACTACAGTAAAACCAATGATCAGTAAATCTTCGGGGTGTGGAATTAATTGGTTTTTCACTTAAGCTTGTAATGTGGCTAAAGAAATAAAGGATATAAAGCCTTAAAGGGGCTCACCAAGGGATAATAATGTAAGGGATGGCTATCTGGCTAAAGTGGGTAAAGAAATAAATGAATGCCTCATTCATATTCTTGCATGTAAGTAAAAAATGCAGTTTCAAAAAGAATCAGAGCAAGTTCTAGAGAACAAAGATCAACAGCAGAAGCACACAAGAAAGAAAGCATGGCCAAAAGATATGCCATGTATACAGGCTCAAAATCTCACAAAGGTATACCAAATCATGCAATCAGCAACATAGTATCAAGTAACAAGTAATG